ATAGAGTATGAATGCCTAAACAAAGGAAGAGAAAGCATGCAAACCTAACATTAGGATGAAAAAATATATAAAAGTATTTGGCCTTCACTGTAAACAAGACAACATGCAAGAAACATTCAGCTTCATGAGAAACTTTGTTATTTTTTAAAAATTCCATATTTGTGAAAAAAGGCTGGAATTTGTTGTGCTATTACAATGCTGTTATTGGTTGTTAAGCCTTAATATGACTTAATATGACAAATGTTTTGACCCTATAGTAGTGAAGCTCAAGAGTAACATAACAAATGCTTTACTCAGGAGTCCCAGTAAGCCATGACAGCATGACAGTCAGCCAGCATACACAATATCAGGACCCTAAAACTGACACAGCTAAATGGAACTCAGCCACCATTAATAGCATTATTTACACATTGCTTCTCCCTCTGTGTCTTTAGTGAAAAGTGCCTTCTGCACACTTCTTACATTTGTTTTCATTTTGTGAATTTGTGTTAATATATTTAAGCGGATCGTGAGTTACTGATCGAAGAAATGTGACACCTAAGTCTAGACCACTTTGGGACCACTGCTATAAACCATCCTGTACAAGCCATGTCTCAACTATGTGTCTATCTGATATACATAACTGCCAGGGGAGCTGGTATATGTCAGCCATCAACAGAACTGGGGTTAATAAAATGTGCTTATCTGTGAAATATTAGCTACCACAGACTGCATAACTGTTCAAAAACCTCTGTGAATGTTAGTACTTCCAGATTGCATCATACATCAACATTTCACCATGAGTAAATTCATAGGGTCCTTTGATTAGATAATATATGTACAGATCACACACACACACAAATCCAACTTTGACTTCTTGCCTGCATAGACATTTAATATGAAACAATACAGCACTGAACCGTCACTGGTTTTGCTCTCGGCATGCTTGTTCAAAAGACTAGACCTCTCTGACTTGTATTCACTAAGACATGTAGCTGTGCAGCTGGTAATATGGTCTTTGGAACAGAGTAATAAATAAGACCCTTATTAAGAGTGTGGATTGATCCAATCAATCCTTTCACCACAGGAGTAAGTTGATGGTGCGATTCGAGCTCTGTATGGGGTGTGATGTGTCTTTGCCTGTGCTGCGAACCAGACTGAGAATGGGTCTGTGCATGTGTAGATAAATGTTGTACTTGAAATATAGTTATGCTGCTTGACACCATTTTATGTGCAATTTTAAAATATTGCACAGTTGAGCATCATTTATATGTGAGAAGTAAACCATCTGCAGCATATCCACCACCCATAAACCTGCTTAGTTTGGCTGCAGCTCTCTGCTCATCCTTTTTAATTATCTCACTGCCTCTTCTAGCAAAAACATTCCAATTTTCAGTCTGTAACACACCTACCCTTTTCTTCCCCCAACCCCCTCTGTTCTCTGCAGTGGGAAGGTCAGGCGTACATCTTCACCCGTTGCTGAGTGAGCACTGGGGGGTAGGGGTGAAGGGACAGAGCACAGATCATAATGGCCAGCCAATTATCAGTAGTAAGGGTGGTTGGGGAGCTGGGAGGAGTGAGAGATTATGGGGGGGAATGGATCAATACACCAGTCAATTTCTAATGAGGGAAAGAATTGGTCCAAGTCAAGCAGATGGAAATCCTGCTCTGCCTGGGGTGGTCTTTCTTCACTGTCTGTCAGCAGGGTATCAGGTTTTTTATGCTGCTTTGTACAACAGCGCCCCAACAGGGGAATGACTGCTACCACACTGGATCTGTGATATTCAAATATTTACAACATTTACTGCAGTTTTTTTTTTTTTGGGTTCACAGTGTTCCTCTCATGCTCTCCTGATCTACCCACATTCCACTTTCTCTAAATATTTCATATATCACTAGGGGCAGATTTAGAAGAGCCAAAAGAATAATGGCTGTCTGTCCTTCACCACCCCCTTCTTTTTAACCACCCACAACTGCCAGCACAGGACAGTAAATCCTACACCTCACCCACTCACCCAGCCCAACAGTGCTACTATGCACAAGCACAACATGCACTCCTCTGCTTACATGAAAAGAAGCAAGCTTAAACTGCTAAAGGCAAAACAGCAAATAGTCTCGGCTTTTTCCAAAATGGTGACTGAAATAAGCACAAACCAACTGTTCAGCACCATCATTAAGCATTTGGTACTGTTGTTCTTCTCTGGTTGCTTCACCATTTTCTACATCTGCCTTTCTTTCTTTTTTCTGAGGGGCCTTGTGTGGGGTGGGGGTGTTATTTATGGCTGCTCTGTGCAAGTGGACACACACACACACACACACACACACACACACACACACACACACACCCTTTCACAGGATGAAAGGGCAGTCACACTGCCTGCAAACATGATTTTACAGCCCTGGGTGGAATGAGTGGTGGAGGAGAGAATGAGGACAGAGTACAAAAGGGGAAAGCCCTTAGATTTACAGGTCCCAGCAGTCAGAATGCAAACCATGTAGCAGTACACATTTTAAAGCAGCTTTTTTTTAAAGCCCAAATGCAGAGTTCCTTAGAAATAAGACAACTGTCTTTATCCAGAAAGACAGGTGTTAAAAGGTGCTCGCAACACACAAGTACAACATCCTAAAAGAGGATCATTGCTTTTTTCATGGCTCTGTTTTTTTAAATTGGAACAGGAGACAATTCAACGCTATTTCCAAATGTGATCCGTTTCAGTAGCTCATCAAAGATTGCATTTAAACGTGTGTGTGCGCGTGTGTATGAGGGCTTGTAGCTTGGCAGGGTTAGGGTAGGTTCGTGCAGTGTTTACACAGCATTTATACAGTTTCACTGTAGACTTTCCACTATGTATGCATGTGTAAATGTTTATACATAACATAAAAATAATGAGAGGTAACTTAGGGTGAGTTACCTCTCATTATTTAAATGTTATGTATGAGGGTGTGTATTTGTTTAGAAATCTGACTGATAGATGTGGGGAAAGCAGAGTAAATACTCTTAATAAGGCATTTGTAGTTCATCTTTACCCTATAATTAAAAAACTATCAATTCCTACAAATTAACATTTTTATCGCTGAGTTGTTATTCTTTAAGCTTTAGATTACTTGTATAACAACTCGGCAACTTACGATTATTCTTATTGTCAATTAATCTGCATATCAGTTTCTTGATTAATCGATAAAATGCCAGAAAATAGTGAAAATGCCCATCATGATTTCCCAGAGCCCAAAGTGACTTCTTATTTCAGTCCAAAACTCCATTCATTACCAAACACAGCTTAGAAAACCAGCAAATATTCACATTTTAGAGGCTTGGGGCAGTGAATGTTTGGCATTTTCCCCTAAAAAATTGACCTAAAAAAGTTACTGATCAATAATCAACAAATTAGTTATTTGACTAATAGTTTCAACTCGAATAACAACAATACTATAAACGGTTAACAACAGTGGGCGAGACAAAGCAGTCTCTCCCAAAGCCAGAGGCAAATCATTCAAGGATTGCGATTTAATTAAGTTAAAATGTGTTCCATTGACAGCGAAAGGGAGAGCGACTCTGTATGCACATGATGACTAAATAGGGAGTGGGGTGTATTTTCCTGTTTCCAGTTTAAACTGCAATTAATTAAAGCAATTTGGGTGGAAAAGCTCAAGTAAACAGTTTACAACAAGGCAGGACTGACCATAGTGCCAATGGAGCACCTCCACGCTTTGCCACATCACAGATTCAAAGTCAAACCAGAGTCCTTGTAACACTCTGGTTAAGGGTGGATTTCACTTTAAGTGTTCACTTAAAGACATAAAATGAAAAAGCATAGAAAACAGCATTGCACTCTATTGTTATATCAGTAATCAGAGGGCGCTCTTTGCTATTCATGTCTTCTGTAGCTGTAGGACAAAATAATTGCTCTGAAAGCACGCTGCAAACACAATAGGCTGATGCCAATGTAATGTGTGTGTGTGTGTGTGTGTATATATATATATATTAGTGGGAGGTAACTGGTATAATGAGGGCTTGGATTTGTGTTTCAGTGGTAATTCCTGTGGTGCATACTGTCTCTAGTGGAAAATACTGTGAGCTGGCAGGGAGTTTCTAGTGAAAAGGTGCAGTCTGACATCTGCTGGTAAGAGATTATATTGCAGCAGTTGTACACGCAGGACACAGTATGCATAGTCAAATACAGCATCTCCCAGTAAAAGCTCAAAGATATACAAGAAAGAAGGTTTTGGAAAAATTAACACAAACAACTGCCAGATTTTAACATCTCCAAGCAATCATATTCACAATGAATTAAAAACAAAAGAGTGTTTTTTTGTCTGGAGACATTAAAATGTTAAAACATTGTTTGACAGTGTATATGTGTTGTGTGATCTTGGATGAAGCAAGTCTCTGGATATCTATAAAATCACAATGCACTGTCCAAGACGTCTTTGTGTCACAATTTCCATGATGTTGTTGTTGTAGTAGTTACAGACTCTGAACTGAACTACAGTTCCAATACTATTACAGGATGAGACAAAATGTATTCAATTATTTAAGTTAGGTGCCTTTTTTGTTGTTGTGTACTGCAAGTAAGTATAGCCTCCAAGGGCAGAAGGACTATAACAGCCAAAAGGAGGACGTGGAGGATGGGAAAAGAGATCCAGCACTCGACACAGAATATCAACAAAAACAGCAACAGCATCAAACAGTCCACTAAGTCAACCAAAGGCAAATCACACATTTTCACCTGTTTTGTTGCAACAATCTGTACTTTGATCACAAAACATCCAAACACTGAGACTCAACTTAACAAATAAAACCTCCAAGTCACTTCACAGTGCCTCATTTCGCACTTATATTCAAGCCTTTCTGTTCATCACTTTCCTTTACACCTATTGAAGGTTGTAACAACATGCTCTGATTAAAATAAAAGCACTTCAGTCTTTGGTTGATGAGTTGTCATTTACTCTGCCACCAACATCTCTATAAGTAAAATTTACTACTGGCATTAAACTCTGGTATGCTCTTATGTTTTACCGACCTGTTGTCTGAACTGCTCCTGAGACAGGCAGTCGGTCACGTTGACGCAGCCCAACAAGCAGCCGGTGGGGTATTCTTTGGGAAACCTGGGCTCTGCACAGAAAATGAGAGCAATCAAAGACCGACCAACAAGCACATCTACAAGCATCGTACCAGTCTAGAATGTGTGCAAATTTAAAATGCTGTATATGAAGCATGTAAACAAGCTTGAAGCAAATCACCTCCAGTATTTATTAGTCTTATTTACTGGTTTGCTGTGTATGTTTACCTTTCTTGTAGATGTGGCGGTACATGGCTTCCACCTCAGCAGTCTCCTGGGGGGTCGGTGTTTTGGCTGCAGCAGCAATCCAAAGACGACCCCGGTGGGATGTGTACCAAGTTCGCCCCTCTACCCTACACAGACAAACACACACACACACACACACACACACACACACACACACACACACACACACACACACACACACACACACACACACAAACACACAAACACACAAACACACACACACACAAAATTGCAATGTTACTGCTGCTTTCACTGGCCTGACAGAAAACAAGACTCCCTAAGAGTGATTTAGTGTCAAAGCTCATTTGGGATTTTGTTTGCTCCGTACCTCTTGATGCCTCTGATCAGTAGTGAAGCCCACGGTTGGTGCATGCTGAGACACCAGCCCCCGTCAGACATCTCCTGCAGCTCTTTGTCCTGGAGCCTCAACCTGGAACGTTCTTCTCCTTTCTTGTCCTCCGCCGCACTCTTTCCCTGCTCCATGTTTCTCTTGTAGTTCTCTTTGCCTCTGACATCCACCCACTAGAAAGTACATTCATTGTCATCGTTATGACATTATTATCACCATCTGCACAATCAATTTCCAGGATGGATAAAAAGTACATTGCAAACTCAAGAGGGAGAAACAACTGTCAGCTGTCAGTTTCTACCCATTTTACCGATGTTCCAAATAAGTTTAATAATGGTACAAATCACTAGTCTAAAATCTAAACACTTGAAAATGTACCAGGAGATCCCACCACTGTTACGACCTACCTCTGGTGCAGACTGCAATATGTTGGGATTGACCAGCTCTCTGTTGCCCTGCCCTCCACCTTGTCTTTGAGAATACATCGGTGATTTTGGCGTAGAGTCACTGCTCATAGCCTTGAGAGTCTCATCCAACCTGCAAATGATTGCAAAATTTCAGTCAAAAGGAGGCTTTCAGCATGACGACACAACATAAATCTGCCCTTGCAGGTCTTGATCCAGGTGGTGTCAGATTATCTTACTTGTTGTAGTACTCGTTGAGGTTCTTTCCCTCATCAATCACTTGTCTACCAGCGAAGTCCAATGTGATCTTCCTGTCCTTGCGAGAGGCATGGCGAAGTTCTCTAAGCTCCTCTTCCTTTTTCCTCAGCTTCTCTCGCTCACCAGGTGACAACCACTGATTGGATTCAGTAGCAAAGTAATCCGACTCATCGTCCAGAACCTGCGTTCTCCTGACACTGGAGTTGAAGGGGACAGTAAATAAATAGGTTAGTGTTATCACCGACTTTCATGATTACCTACAGAAATCGAAATGTCCGGTTAAAGTGCTGACATTGCACACCAAGCAGTAAAACCTATCCTCTCTTTTCTTCACTGTGCATTTTAATGATACCTGTTCTTGTCATATTCCAGCAGTTTGTCTTTGTGCTGGACAGCCTTCTCCAAGCCAGCCTTCATCGTGGCCTCCTGGTGTGGGAGATAATCTCTTTCTCCACAGTCTGTCACCAAAATAAAAACAAATTCATAACATCAACCCACGTCGTTATGTCATAGATTTTAGTACTTAATAATCTAATTTCTTAATAAAGTCTAATTTTGACTCTCACCTCCCATAAGCTTCTTTCTTAGTTTCTGGCTTTTGTTGGAGTCTCGTTGCAAGATCTCCTGCTCCTCTCTAGTGCAGACCTGAGTCAGAAAGGAGAAAATAATACTAATACTAATAAAAATAAGGTTTGTCAGCAGTAGGTGTTTGGCGATATTGATGATAACCGTGATATTTTTAAAGAATTCTATATTGAGATCTTGTTAATAATACAGCGTCTCTTTCTTTTCATTGTCGCTTTGTGGTTTACACACGTTTTTTTTGTGGTTCTTTTTATACAGTTCTGCTTACAAACCCTCTCTCTCCAAAACAGAGACAAAACACACAATAACAGTTAAGGATAAATTTAACTTATTCTAGAAATATTGCAATAGTATCACTGTTGTGAATTCTTTGGGATCGTAATCATGTAGTGACAGCCACTGACTCAGAACCACAAGTAGGTCAAAATAAAAAATAAAAGACCTGCGTACCAGACTGCCGCAGAAGAGGCAGGGTCCCGAGCCCTCCTGCTCACACACAATGTGACCACAGCTGATGCAGTTGTTGATAAGTTTGTGCTTCTGGGCAAGACACTCGCAGGCATATCGACCTGGGAGTAAGACAGCCAGCCTGTCCTGTCCCTCTTTATTATAGAGACTGACAAACTTATTTTTCTTCTTCGTTGAAGGAGCACTCGTGTTTTCTTGGGCCTGAGAAAGTAAATGAAGAGAGGAATAGATACAATAACAATGTGATGAATGATCTACAAATAAACTTAATGTGTCACTGTCACCGTGAGAATTACCTCCATAAAGTCGGTGATACGAGAACAAATGTTCAGGCCGACGTGTACTCACCCTCATCAGGTCAATGGGGGTTTTGACTGCCTCTGGCTCAGGTTCAGTTTGGCTCACAGTCATCACTTCTTGTTTGTTACGGCCCTTTCGTTTAGACTTCTTTTGGGTATCTTTGGTCATGTCTTGTGAATCTAGGAAAGGTGAGCAAAATACCTTCAACAAATAGTATGGATAGTGCATCTGGGAGAAATGATGAATTATGATACTAGTTTATTACATTCATAAGACATTAAGTCGTTGGTATTTATATTCATTTACAATGTTTGTCATGTCCAAGTTCTTTGCATAGTAGTTTTACAGAAGGTTGTTTATAGCTGGGAGGAATTTTATAGGAAAATATATGATTACGATTTACAGTAGAGGGCACAAACGCAACATACAATGGGGCATAAATCACAACAGTTACAGCGGCATCTGTTCATTAAAAGCAGTAAACAGTAGCCATGATAAAGTGAAGCTGAGCAGTGCAGTCAAATACATTCAGATGTCCTTTATTTATTTATTTACCTGCCAATGAGACGGATTCCTTGAGAAGGAAAAGACTTGGGTTATCTGTGGCCTGTCGCTGAGTCTTCCTCCATCTGACGAGGAGCTCATCTATAAACATCCCTTTCCTCCCATCTGTGCCCTGCAGGAGGTCTCCCACATACTCCTCAATCTCTTCAGCTTTTTCAATGGACAGAATGTATCTAGACCACAGGATGACACAGTTATTTAATCTGACATGCATTTACATTTGATGTTGAAGACATTTAAGACGAAAAAAATAAAGACACGCTGCTTCGTGTGGCATCCAGCAATGTCTGAGGGTCTGCTTATTCTTTATTCAATTAATATTTAAGAACTGATTTGCTTCTTTTTTGTCACGAATATTTAGGATACTTGATCTTTTTTTTATGATATTGACTGAAAACTGTTTAATAAATACTTGATTAATACTCATCTAATTAGGAAACTGTTGTGTGACTCACCATCACAAACTATCTATACATGTGTGCTCACACTTTCCCCTACATTTGAAAACCACCTGTGGTTGAAAAAATATCTATTTTGTTTTTTATGTGCTTGGTTTTTAACTAGCAAGCACCTGCAGAGTGTTTCAGATGTTCTTGAGCCGCTAGGAGATTACATGACATCGTAAACATGCCACAATATGTCCAGTTATTACCAGGTTTCCCTCTTATTTCAAGGTTTTTAAGTTGGATAGCTTTATAAATGATTACAAAAGTGAATTTCAGAATGTAATCTGTTTGATTTGACATAACCGGAACAGCAACCACAATGTTATATCACTCAGGATGTGTCACCTCTGGGGGTTAATAAAGTCTGATAAGTAAGAAGGGCTGCACAATTAATTAAAATCTAAATCGTGTTAGGATTGAATTGCAGTTCTGGCCTACAAGTCTCCAGATTTAACATGTTAGTTTGTACAGACCCCGTCATATTTCACATCCTTATGAGTTTAATATGTGTTTTCAGTGTCACAATATCGGTCGAAATTATGGCAATATGATGTTTTTACTATAAGGTGCAGCTGTAAGTTAGGGAAAGAAAGTTCTGGTTAACCATTAGTTGGTTCAGCGGGTCTGGACCCTCACTAGGACTCACAAGGCCTTCTGGTTTTTAAGGGGTGTAAGAAAACTTTTATCTCAACATTTCATTCATATTTTGGGAAGAAAACTAAATTAAATTGTTACTTCTAAAGTTTAGATTTAACCGCTTAAGACCTGAAAGAAAAATAGTTAATTAAAACAACCAAAAAGAGCCAACAGAACAATGAGAAGAAGTATGTATGATTGATAAAAATGATTTAAAATAAACCCCTAACATCGACAGAGAATTATATATAATAACCTTAAATATAATATAAATATAATATATATATAATATATATAATATACAGGGGATCTCTCGCTGTACACAAACACCCTGCAGTTATTGTTAAACACTGAATACAATATGAAATACCCATAAATTATATTTATATATATCACAGTAATCTACCTGCTCCTCTGAACAGCTGTTTTAACAACTTATTAAACACAAATCACATGAATCGATCATGTATTGAGTACGCAGGAACAACTTGAACACGGTAACGTTAACATCGAGCTGTTCACTGGATCCCGTAGACTCGTTAACGGTAGCTCGTTGGCACGGCAACGGTCCGGTTGAACGTCTCTTACCGGACGATGTCTTCAGAAGCCTCCAGCCCGAACTTGTGGTGCAGCTGGTCCACACACCACCGGAGCAAAGCCTCCGACATTTTTAAAAAACCGGTTAATAAACACACCGACGACAGCTGACGTAACGTTACCGGAGGCGTGTTTCCAGTCGGAGACATAACGAGGGGGCACACGGAGATTGCGACTGCGTGGCGTGCAGAGGATCTCGTCCTGAACGCAACCCCGGCTGTGGAAGGTTCCGCCCACCACTCCAACTCGTACTACTTCAAGATCCGTTAAATAATAATAATAATAATAATAATAATAGTAATAATAATAATAATAAGAATAATAACTTTATATATATAACGTAGAATAAACAATAAAAACTTAAAATAAAACTAATACTAAAATAATAATAATAATAATAATAATAATAATAATAATAATAATAACTTTATATATATAACGTAGAATAAACAATAAAAACTTAAAATAAAACTAATACTAAAATAATAATAATAATAATAATAATCATAATAATAATAATAGCAATAATAATAATAATAATAATAACTTCATATATATAACGTAGAATAAACAATAAAAACTTAAAATAAAACTAATACTAAAATAATAATAATAATAATAATAATAATAATAATAATAATAATAATAACTTTATATATATAACGTAGAATAAACAATAAAACTTAAAATAAAACTAATACTATAATAATAATAATAATATTAATAATAATAATAATAATAATAATAATAATGATAATAACTTTATATATATATATAACGTAGAATAAACAATAAAAACTTAAAATAAAACTAATACTAAAATAATAATAATAATAATAATAATAATAATGATAATAATAATAACTTTATATATAACGTAGAATAAACAATAAAAACTTAAAATAAAACTAATACTAAAATGATAATAATAATAATAATAATAATAATAATAATAATAATAATATTAATAACAATAATAATAATAATAATAACTTTATTTATTTATCACCGTTCATTCAAGGGTTTACAAAGTGCTTTACATGGTAAACACAATCATAGCACCAGTAACAATATATGACGTAGAATAAACAATAAAAACTTAAAATAAAACTAATACTAAAATAATAATAATAATAATAATAATAATAATAATAATAATAATAATAATAATACAAAGTAGGGTTTACAAAGTGATTTACATGGTAAAAACAGCAAAATAAAATTACAGAACACTAAAAACCATAGCACCAGTAACAATATATATATAATTAACAATAAAAACCAAAGTAAAACTAATACTAAAATTAAAATAAAAATAATAATAATAGTTATAATCTAAATTAATTATAGTAATAGTTAAAAAATATAAACGGTGTATAAAAGGTTAGAAAAAGGATCACAGGGAGGAAAGACTGCGTTTTAAGAAGAGACTTAAATGAAGTGATAGAATTTATAAGTGTGTACCTGTTATGTTCAGTCACTAGGTGGCAGTTGTTTAATACAGATGTCTTCAGATAGAACCTGAAATGTGAAAATGTCAGTGATGGAAGAAGTGTTCAGAACCTTTACTTAAGTAGACTATTAATACCTCCTGTAAAAACCCTCTGTTACAATAAAATTCCTGCATTTAAAATGTTTGTTTGTAGGTATAATCAGGGAATACCTTCTTAAAGTGTTTAACGTACTCAATCCAGAAAAATGGCCCCCATGTGACAATTATACTATTATTTTATATATTATTATTAGAATTATATCATTAAATTATTATTACTCATGAATTAATTTATGTATTTAGTTGACGTGGAGCTAGTGTTTAACTGTCTGGATTTTAACTACTGTGGTTTTATCTGACTAATTACTTAATTGATTATAAAAATCTGAAAACTGGTGTCTTAACCCAACCCCACCATAACCTTACCCACAGTGGGCCTGTCAGCCACGCTGGGACATTTGTTTATAAGTCCCGCCTATGGCCAGACCCCAACCCAAGGTTCCACAACATCCTCATGGACTAAATCACAGTCAGTAAGTAATGTCTTACTTTTTTGGTTGTTATACAGTCCAGAGCAGACAAGTAGTTGGTAGTCATCAAATTCATTAGAGCGTATATATTGTTCACACAACACGGGGAGGGTCAAAAAGCAGGCTTGTGCAGGGCCCAAACAGGTCATCCCCCACACACCACGCCCTAACAAGTATTTCTTATACATGGACAGTATACATCACCCGTGTGTCTGGTCAAATTGACGATTTAAAAGTTTATCTTCAAAAATGTAGTTAATTACCAGACGACCAAAATCCAGACTGTCCACAAAGAGGTATCAACAGACAACAGTCGGGAAGGGAAAATGTTCCGAGGGGGTGTGATATAAGTGGGATGCATGTTTTCCTTTAGTAGATAATAGAGACACAAACGCAGTATTGTAGCAAGGCAGTATTGTTGACTAAATGGCGGTGATGGGATGCATATTTCTTTAGCATGATAAGAGAGCAAACAAGCGTCAAGGCAATGAAAGTATCCTATCAGGGAAATTCAGCAGCATCAACAAATAGCAAGGCAAGCCAAACCCATGGGGATCAAAGTGGGGGAGAACGGAATCCGGCATGATGTGACGTCACCAAGCAATGTCACGGAACGAGCCAAATCGAACTGGTGTCAGGGTGTGGAGAAGCTCTCCACACACCAGAAGGTCAGAACTACAAAATGTATGCAGACAACACCACCGTGTTCCATTATTAGGAAACCCTGATGGGAATTCATAGTGGAACAGCCAGGCAGGGCCCACCCAACGAACCTGAAACGAAGAGCTAAAAAAGGGAAAACAGACGCAGAGGGAGGGACACAACACGTCGTCAAAGAGACAACAGGGCCCACACATCCTTCTGAACAACCGCAGAAATTCACCACCTAAAGCCACCAGAACCACATGAAGTAGACCTACTGTGGTGCCACAACAAGTACAGGGAGGAGGATTGTGGACCATTACAGCCAAATATAAGTTCCCCATCAAACCCGTCGCGGTACATGTACATCTTCTGGCACACCATCATCCCGTGGGCAATGCCTGGCCCTCACAAGCGGACGCAAAGCCCAAGAGCACAAAAACAAGACAGGAGACAGTTCAGGCACAGCACATCCTCCCATCCGGTAAACACAACACTCAACCCAAAGAGGGAGACCATCTTCAGCAAAGGGAGCCCAGCATCACAACAGTGCATCAGAAAGCCCCGAATGCCAGAAGAGACCACCAAAAGTCACACCTACATGATGTACGCAAGGACCAGTTGCACATTCCCAGGAAGACAGGAGGACGCGCAACACACAAAAAGGAACACCAACACCAATGCAGCAAGTGGAGTCGCCTGCTTTCGAGGCAAGAACGTTTTGGGACTTCACTAACAAAAAGTCAGTCAAAAAAAAAAAGGAATGAAAATCAAAAAACAGAGTTTGTCCTGTTAACAGTTTTTAATAAATACAAGTTATTAATTTTTAAAATTTTTTTATATAAAATAAATAAAAAAACCAAAAAAACAACCAATTTTTTTTTTTTTTTTTTTTTTTTTTTTATTTAAATAAAAAAAAAAAAATTATTTCTACCCTAACCCCAAAAATTATTATATTATAATTTTTTTTTTTATTTTTTTAAAATATTTTTTTTTTTTTAATATATTTTTTTTTTTTTCAAAAAGCCCCTACTACAACAACATGTAAAGGAAAAAATATTTTTTTTAAAGGTTTTTCTATATTTGGGTCTTACAGGGTTAACAGATGAATAAAAGAAATATGATTTCCTTATAGAATGTGATGGATTATTATAGATTAAATAATAATATATTACACAATAAAAGCTTAAGTTTAAGATCTGAATATTTTCCTGCACCACAGGTGAGGGCAGATGTTGCTCACTCATCTGTTTGTATTCTGCTTCATTCAGGATACCACCAAGTCAGTTTTATTTATATTACCCAAAATTAAAAAGGGCTTTATAATCTGTAGCATGAGAGAATATTAGTGTTATTACTTAGTGCTGTCAGTACCTCGTGTGATAATGCACTTGACCCTGCAAATGGAAAAACTCCAGTTTTTGTATTAAAATATTTGGCAATCTGGCATCTAATAAAAGCTGCAAATGTTTTTTCTTGACGTTTTGTGTGAATTTAAGACTCGGGAATTCGAATGTGTGTTCTTGTACGAACAGCGAACAACCTGTTTTTAAAATACTGAAATCTCTGATAGAGAGGTAATGAAAATGATTTGCTCTCTTAACAAATCTAATGCCAAGGATGACTATGGATTTGAAACTTCACATGGAGTCTCTGGTTTGCCCCATCATGCAGCTGGTAAATCTGTGTATCAGGCATTCTGTTGTCCCGACTAACTGGAAGGTGAGCACGGTGAATCCAATCTTCAAATCTGGAAGTAAATCTGAAATCAAAAACCATAGACCAATCAGTATTCTTCCTGTCATCTCCAAAATAATAGAAAAATCGGCGGTGTCAATTCCCCTTACCGCCATACTTGGACCTATTTTGTTTTCTTTTTACATTAATAATTTCTTTGATGTCTGTAAGGGTGTTAATGCACAGTTGTACGCGGATGACGCTGTGATTTTTACCCCTGCGAAAAACACGACAGAGGCTGCTCAAATACTCACAACAGCAATGGCTCGTGTTCAGAACTCACTGATGTCTGATTCAAATGTTAAAAAAAAGTGTCTGTATGATTCTTGCTAAAAGGCCGCCAAATATTGATCATTCTGGTGTCTTTCTGGGAGGGGAGGAGCTCGCCTTGGTGAGCGAGTTCAGATACTTGGGAGTCATTCTGGACTCGACACTCTCATTCAGGAAACACATCAAAAAAGTGTCTAAATCTGTCAAATACAACCTGGCAAATTTCAGACAGATCAGGAATTCATTAACCAGCAGTGCAGCTTTGATGTTTTTACACTGTATGATCTTCTCACATATAGACTACTGCTTAACGAGCAGTATAGTCTTCTATTGTGGAATAGTCTTCCCTCCACAATAAGGGAATGCCCCACATACTCTTCTTTTAAAGGACAACTAAAACAATGGCTCAAATCAAATCAAAAGTGCAACCACTAACTGGACTTGAGACTAATTGAACATTACTTTTTATTGCATTGTTATATCCTGT